GTTCATATTATGTTTTAGGTGTGTGTCATGTATGTGTTTCACTTTGAGAGCGGGCAACTAACTTTGATGTGTGCCGTTGTGCCCACAGTATAAAAATGACAATAAAGGTCATCTCGTCTCGTCTCATCTCATCTCATCTCATATTATCTTTCATTTAAATATTACAATACTACAGTTCAAACACCAGCAGTAGACTACAACTTTCAAATGCAAGGTCAAGATGCATTTTGCTGGGGGGGGGGAGGAGGAGGACACTGTAAAAGACATTGTCCACAATGATGTCAAATTGTGTAAAGTGTGTCTGCCAATGAGTCAATTCTGGTAAAGAATGTTGAAGTGACACCTGTGGACCATGAGAGACATTACAGCTGAAAGAAAATTATTGAAAAAAGCAGTTTAACTTCTGTGACAGTGTAACCCAAGGACAAAAGGAGGCAGTATTTCTTTAACAAGAAAAGTGGAGTTAAACTAATGGATGGTATAAAAATGAATATTGACTATATTTCAGTTTTTCCCATACAGTGGTACCTCCGTACTCTTCATTAATTGGTTCTGGAAAGTGTGTTATGTACCAGAAATGATGAGTTCCAAACATTTTTTTCCCATAAGGAATAATGTAATGAGTCACAAGGTAGCCAACACCGACAGGTTCTAGGTTGTGCATTGAGTACCAAACAAAGGATGAGTACCGGGACAAAATTTTCACATCAAAATATGTTGTGTACCAAATTCAGTGAGTTTCAAAGCAATTGAGTACCAAGGTATCTTCATTTGAAAAGCATATTTACTTGTTTTCCCCGTGGATTTAGACCAGGGGTCTTCAAACTTAGCCCTTTTATGACTTGTGGATTTCAACTCCCAGAATTCTTCAGCCAGCATGCCTGGCTGAGGAATTCTGGGAGTTGAAGTCCACAAGTCATAAAAGGGCCAAGTTTGAAGACCCCTGATTTAGACTGTCCAAATTTTTTATAACTTTGGCAGACTAGGATAGTAGTTTGCTCTTCATTTTGTAATCAGGCTATATGTTTGCTTGCTTATTTGTTTGTACATTTACTACAACTTTAAAACTCCTCCTTGTCTGGCAGGAAACCAGGCAAATTATACAACTAGGAGCCATCTTCAAGAAACATTCCAACTCCACACGGATCACATTACATATGTGATAAAATATATATTATATACCTATCCACAGAATCCATAACTGATAAAACAGAAAAAGGATGTTAAAAATAAGCAATCTCTGGATTCCCTTGGAGAATTACATATCCAAATCTTGAAATCTTGGATTTACCAAGCCAGGCTTAATCTTTTCTCCTGAGATAATGACCCAGAAACTTCCCATTTTTATTGTTCACAGAAGACAGTGAAAGATGCAATGGCCCATAATAAATACGCATATTGTGTTGGGAACTTTCAGAAATTCTAATTAGGGCTTTTGAAAGTTTCCATGCAATTATCCAGAAGACACGTGGTTGGAAACTTACAGAATGATAGATTTAGATTCATCTCATTGAACAAATCCTTGCCAAGCACAGAATCCAAATAAAAGCATACTAGACAGATGGCTGTATAGTTTTGCTTGAACGTATGCAAAAAACAAACAAAACAAAAAACCAGAGGTGAGAGGCAAATTATTTCATTGAAAGTTGGGGTTTATGGGGACGTTGTACCAAGGAAAGTTAAACTGTATCCTCCTAAAATAAAATGAGACATCTGTAGAGCAAGTCCGAACTGTGTGTGTTAAAACTTCCTTCAAATCTATAACAACTCTCTATAAAATGTTTAAATACCATTTTTGATATCCACTGCAATGTACAATAATCATGAAAAAAGCTTTGATAAATTAATCGAATTGGAGGCCACTGATTTGATAAAGCAAGATATTATACCTCCTTATTCCAAAGTTCTGGCAAATTCTCAATATATATGTCAGTAACTCTTCAATTGTTTATATACATGAGCTAGAGGTTTAGGCTCTCCTGAGATATTTTTCTGGATCCTTTTCCTAGTGATTTTAGTCTTTTAGCTTATTCTGACAGCACATTAGTGTTTGGACAGACAATAACAAAGGCTGTAATAAAACTCAAATTCACTTCTATACCAATTAGTCACAATTTTATGTATCTCTTCCCCCCCCCCCCACAAAAACCTCTCTTGATCCAAGAATATACAAAAATGTAAGATGGGAATCCCAGAGAGAGGTGAAATAGAGAAATCTATTCCATGTAAAAAGTTCTGAATTACTGTATATCAGTTTCCAGATTACAAGCATATTTTCAGAAGAAGAAATATTTTCGTTTTTAAAAAGCAGGCTGTCCATTTTCCGTGACATTTATTAATGTTTAAAATGAGAAAAACTTAAATCCAGGGGCAAACTGACCAATACTGTTTGGTTTCTAATCTTCCAGTATTACCATCATAGTAAATTATCAGACTGATACGTTTGGTGCCAGATAATTAAAGTAAATGAGTTCAACCTTTCATTGTTCAAACTTTATTACAGGATTGCAACTCCAATGCATAATGTAATATTCATTTACACACATAATTGTTACAGCATGTTAATCTCCTAACCTGCCTTGTATTTGGCAGAGAGTACTGGATGATTGCCTTTTTAACAGGAGTGCTAATGAAACTGTTTTGTTTGTCCTGGTGGCTAATTTATTGGAGATTTGATTTTGTTTGGTGAATTATTTAAAGGGCAACTTCTTTCTATATTGCTCCTGTTTCTTGCTTCATTTTGCATTTATGATTTACCATGGGAACAAAAGAGCATTCAAACATAAGGTGATGATACAACTTGATCCTGATAATATGTGGGTTTTTTTCCCTCATTAGTTGATTGTTCATATTTCTCAAAGGGAGCAAAGTAAGAACGATCCATTCAGCAAAAAGCAGAAAATAGTAAAATCTGGATAGAATTGATTTCAGCATATTATTTCAAGCATGCTGAAGAATATCAGCATTGTGGACTTTCTGCTATTTAAAATTTAAATGTAAAATTTGTTTTAACATTTTTAAAAATAAATTCTATTTGAATATGCTATATATGGGGGGGAACTCACTAAAACTGTTCTTTAGTACAATATCTTTGTTTTTGTGTCTCAGAAAGGGAAAATAGGATTTGAAAATAAAGTCTACAAGTGTACCAATCTTAAAAATTGAATAATATTTTTTAAATGTAGATGTTTGTGAACAAGGTAGATTACATTCATACATCCATTACTATTCATGCTTACTCAGAACTATTTCCAATTCCAATTCAGCAGGATTTATTCCTAAATAAAGAGATATAAGGTTGTAATACAAAGCAATTTAGAATCTCATACAATTCAACCACAACAGAACATAAAGCAATTCAAATGCTAGTCAATAAGACTAAAATAGTTTTATCTTGAGATTTATTGGTACTAATGTCAGTACCACAATCACAAATGCCCACAATGGATAAATAGTTAGTGAAGTTAATATAGTTGGAGATGGAAAATTGACTACTCTAATTAAATAATAGACTTTCTCTAGTTTCATTTCTACTTGGAAACCACTTTTGGATTTTTTGCTTGTAACTAAAAGAAACTAAATTTTAACCTTGGGATTTGATGACTAGAAGTGTTTATTATTTTTGTGTGTAGTACTGTGTGCTGTGGTTTATTCTAGTTCAAAAGATCATTGTATTTTATCTTTGTGTTTGTACCAAAGAAAGTTGGCTATTATTTTTCTCTATAGCCTTTTCACTTTTTGTCTGCACCACCCAATTTTGCTTTTTCCCTACTCCTTTCCTTTTTTCCTTTTATTTTTTCTTGCTTTGTTGTATTTTATATTTTTTGAAATTCAATAAAGTTCTATTAAAATGCCATTGATCAAATATTTCAAAAAGTAAGCAAAAATATGAATATTTATGTGTGCAGAAATATAATAATAATAATAATAATAATAATAATAATAATAATAATAATAATAATAATAATAATAATAATAAAGTTGGAAGGTCATCTAGTTCAATCCCCTGCTCAGGACAAATTGTTGTCCAGTCTCTTTTTAAAAACTTCCAGTGTTGGAGCATTCACCGCTTCTGGAGGCAGGTTGTTCCACTGGTTAATTGTTCTAACTGTCAGGAAGTTTCTCCTTAGTTCTAGGTTGCTTCTCTCCTTGATCAGTTTCCATCCGTTGCTTCTCATCCTGCCTTCAGGTGCCTGGGAGAATAGCTTGACTCCCTCTTCTTTGTGACAACCCCTGAGATATTGGAACACTGCTATCATGTCCCCCCTCGTCCTTCTCTTCATTAAACTAGACATACCCAATTCCAGCAAACTTTCCTTATATGTTTTAGCCTCCAGTCCCCTAATCGTTTTTGTTGATCTTCTCTGTACTCTTTCTAGAGTCTCAGCATCTTTTTACATCGTGGTGACCAAACTGGATGCAGTATTCCAAGTGTGGCCTTACCAAGGCATTGTAAAGTGGTATTAATACTTCACGTGATCTTGATTCTATCCCTCTGTTAATGCAGCCCAGCACTGTGTTGGCTTTTTTGGCAGCTGCAGCACACTGCTGGCTCATATTTAAGTGATTGTCCACTAGGATTCCGAGATCCCTCTCACAGTTACTGCTATTGAGCAAGGTACCCCCTATACTGTACTTGTACATTTGGTTTTTCTTGCCTAAATGTAGAACCTTACTTTTTTCACCACTGAATTTTATTTTGTTAGATAGCACCCAGTGTTCAAGTCTGTTATTATTTCTTGATAACATAAGAATATGCAATGAACTCTGAAAAAGTTTCTTTTTTTTCTATAGCAAGTCACATCCTACATTTTACAAACCACCTTCTGAAGCACATATTTGTTGTGGATTACTTTCCCCACTTCTTTCAGGACCATGGAGAGTAGCAGGAAAAGACAAGCTTTGGCAGTCTGAATGGATTCTAAAATTGCCAATTCACTTTATTTACACATGTGTATGTATTAAAAATGTTTGGGTTTTCTTTCTTTCTTTTTTTACAGACAGCCCTGGACTTTTGAGCCATGTCCCTGTTGAAATTAAAATTCTTGATGTTAACGACAACCCTCCAGAGCTTGCTGGAGACTATAATGTCATTGTCTGTGAGAATGCAAAGCCCAGCCAGGTCAGTTGCTAATTACAGAAGACTTAATTCTTTGATGCATTTATGCATTTATTTTAATATTTAATATTCTGGCATATTAAGTATTTCATATTAAAATCTCAATAATGCTAGAATATTGAACAAAATACTTGACTAGAATATAATCTAAAGGAAGCTTGCTCCATATTCATTGTTTGATTCCCTGATTTTTTTTCCAATGTTATGCCTGAGAACTGTTCTGCAAATGTCTCAAGTGGGGGAAGGGGAAATGTGGGTCTCCTTGTGACACTTTAAAAGTTTTGACAACATTCATAATGAATGATAATGCATTTACTTAAATGAATAGATATTTATATTAAAGTAATCTTCAGATACAAGGACATAGGCAGAGGTTCCCCACACCCCCACCCTGCCAAATTCAAGCACAGAGACCTAAGGTTTTCTTTCCCAGCTTGAACAAAGTCGTACCCACAATTTGTCTTCACTTTTTTATGGGATAAAATGAATTGCATACAGTAGCTGTCACATTTTTGCTCATGCTGCACTTCTGGCCCAACTTATAATTGGGGAAATAACATAATCCCTAGTCTTACTGTTTTTCTGATTTAATCATTTTGCCTTGGCAATGCATAAATAGGCATGTGGAAATCATGTCAACTGCTGTTGCAGTGAATTAGCAACACCATCCAGAGATTGACATTGTGGGTGAAAAGACCTCATTTATGACTCTTCTCTAGAAATGTGGATTTTCATCTGTTCATAGTATATCTCATTGGTGTTATTGTTCCAGTAGTTTTTCTGACTCTACTGAAAAATAGAATTTTCTGCTCTGAGAACATTCTATAATTCCATCAAGATTCTTTTTGGCTTCTTTTCACATCTGACATAGTGGTTGATGAATCAGGCTAGAACCTAGGAGACTGTAAGTTCTAAAACCTTTTAAAACCATGGGCCAGTTGCAGTCTCTCAGCCCAATTCATCTTCCTGGGATATTGTGAAGAAAATAGGAGGAGGATACAGAACTGGGTATGATTGTTGCTTTGAGTTGTATATGAAAAAAAGGACAGGATAAAAATCTAAGAGCAAAAAAGGAGGAAGAAGAGGAAGAATGGGCAAGTTACTTCTGAAAAATACTACTAAGAAAATCGTGAGAGGAGGACAGTTACCAGGATTCAAAACTAACTTGAAGGCACAATTGTATTTCCAATAAATGCCACATTTTTTCATGTATGGGATCTTAATTTTATGGGACACATTTTGTTTAAAAAGAGGGAATAGTGATGATGGTTATTCCACATTTTAAGAGAAGATAAAAATGACATTGCAATCTCAAGCAAGCCAAAAAAAAGTATTAAACAAGATTTATACAACTAATTGGGAGCAGTTTCAAATACTTAAACAACTATCAATAATGAACCCATCAAGTTGCCTCACAAAGTGGTGCATTTTCCTTTGCTGGAGGAATAGATGAATAGAGACTGGATAATTTTCTGCTCAGAATATTTTAAGAGCCTTCCCTGAGCATATAACTGGATCAGATATCTTCTACAATCCCTTATAAGTTTATGATTCTATTGACCTCAACTATGCCTATGTAAAGTCATATATGAAATATTTTCCTGTTCAGTTATTAATGTAAATAGAAATAGCACATAGACTTACATACTTTTCCTCAATGCTCAACAGCCCTCTCTAAGCACTTTACAATGTCAGCATATTGGCCCAAACAATCTGGGTCCTCAGAAGGAGGGAAGGCTAGTCAACTTTGAACTGGTCAGGACTGAACTCCTGGCTGTGGGCAGAGAGAGCTGGCAATACTGCATTCTAATCACTGTGCCACCAGGGTGCTTCAGTGTTCAGAAAATATTTGGATTAATAAATCTGAGTGCTGAGGCTGTATTTAGTTCATTTCATGATATTGCTTAAAATGCTGTCCTCTCCAAATTAGTCTAATAGATTAATAAATGACACCAACCGAGTATAAAATAATATACTTGGCACCAGCTCAAATGAATACTATGTTAACAAGCTGAGCTTACATGATCTTACTGAGTTCTGTCCAAATTAAAATCCAATTCAAAATTAATTACACCCACTATCCTATGTTCTTTCCAGATTATTCAGACAATCAGTGCCACTGACAAAGATGACATTACAGAAGGGCGAAGCTTCCATTTTGCTCTGGATGACAATTTTTCTTTGAATCCCAACTTTACATTAAAGGACAATGAAGGTAAATCAAAAATATAACTGGTCAGGGCTTCGATGTCTCATTGAACAGAATCGCTTTTGTCAATGTGCGAAAACCATAGTCATTCAGGATAATGGCATTTTATACAAAAGGTGCCATAGTCCTATTTTTTAAATTGGAAAGCAAACTACCGTATATCCAGTAATCATCTGGGAAAAAATAACCTTGCAGTATTTTCTATTCTAAATATATATTGTTGTATTTCTCATTTAAGCTGTTGTATACAGTCTAAAATATTTTACAGTGACTTGCTGGAACTATGAAACTTTAAGTTCTTAGTTAAAGACGTCCATTGTCACAAAAGATATAAGTGATTTTATTCTCTCCTAAAAGGTCAGAATTAGGGAAAAAGGGGAAATATCGCTTCTTATCATGTTATACCAGTAGTAAAAGAACATAAAATTGTAAAATACTACCAGAGTTCATTTTTAGCTGAAATATCCATTTGGTAAAATGGGCACAATAATGCCTTGTTTTATATTAATCTAAGAAACTAAATGACTATTTGTTGGTGGATGCATTTTAATAGAATATCATAGTAGAAACTAGATAATTTCCCACCAAGTTTTAGAAAAGCAATTCTTAAATTGTAAGAATTTCATAAATAGGATATGTCATATTTGGTCCTTATATTTGTCAATTTGCATTATATTTCTGATTTATTCAGTAACATATCTTTTCTTGTTGGATAAATTTCTATAAGATTTTCATGACTTTGTACAAATCAATAAGTTAGGTAGCACCTAACAACGTTGGCTGAACTTAGAAGCTAAGCAAGAACAGTTTTTGTTAGAAATTGAATGGGGAACCACTTGAAACTTCCAGGAATATTGTCTGGATTGTATTTTTTTTAAAGAAAATCGGAAGTTTAAAAACATCCCAGAAAAGGGTAGAATAATACTGCTAGGTAATTGCATAAATGCAGTTTCCAGCAGTTGGCTTTAGCTCAGCCCAGAAGTAATATTTAGTCATCTTTGGTTGTTCTTAAAAAGTTAAGTAAGCTTGGATCTTATTATTAGATGGAGAGGCAACAGCCAAGAATTTCAAGATTATACTGAGAAATTAAAATAATCAAAGAAACCAAAGCCATCATGGAGAAGATAATGCAACCCGTTTCCATTTTTGGGTGTGAAAATTCCATGAGCATTAAGAATCAAATGCAACAATAAGACTTTAACTTTTGAAACAAAGAAGGTTACTATATTCTTGGTGGGTAGCCTAGCAGGTGATTTGCATTAAATGCAGAGATTGTGATTATATTTTGCTACAGTTTTGTTTGTATGTTTGCTTTGTTTCTTTGTAATCCATGTTTTTGCCATAGTTTTAGACTCTTTGGGGTGAGAGCCAATTAGCCTTAAAAATGTTTCTGAAACATTGAAAAGCTGAGATGTGAAATGAGAAATTTAAAATTTCTCCTTCAGATGAATGTACTGCAGGAAACAATTGAAAAGAACAGAGATAGAGAGAAGTGGAAATAATTCTGGGAGTTAGCTTCTTTTACTTTATTAGGAATTCACTGCTGTGGCCCTTGCTATTTAATGCTGACCCCTTTGTTCTTCAGTAATGCAATCTTCTTGGCCTTGAAGAAGCCTCTCAGTAAGTATAAAATATATTAGATTTTCAGGGCCGACACAAATGTCCACTCTCAAAGGGGGCAATTGGATCTTGGAAGATGCCTTCCAGACCCGGTGGAAACCTCAACGACCATGATTTTCTAACATCAGTTTCCAAAGCCAGAGAGCAATTTGGGAGGTATTTCATGTGCATTGCAGAAAATTGGAATCTGCAGCCCTCAAATACTTTTTAGCATGTAGAAAAATATGACCTAGATTTAGTCCTGGTTCCAGTTGGAGCAGAAGTGAGGAAGTCTGAATCATGTTCCTCTTTCCTCCCTTTTATCCTGTAGACGTGACCCAATTCTACCTCTAATTTCAAGACATCTCTCTATTTGTTTTTGTTTTTAAATTTGGAAAAGAAAAGAGATTTAAAAAATACAGAGAAATGACAAAATACAAATATTGCATGGAAGAGTTTGTAGAATAATGTAATTTTTAAAAAAAAATTATGTAGAAACTGTTTAATTATAAGAAATATGTCACTTTTGTCCTTACAGAGCAGTTTGGATTAAAATAAATGCAAAGATGCTTAACATTTTTTAGGATTTTCAAAACTCTTATAACTAATATAAGTAAAATCAAATTTTAGATCAACTAATCAGATATGTTTGAATATTAATAGCTCAGGTTGGTAGTTGGGCTATTGGTTTGATCTCTGAGCTTGGCGATTTGGCCCACAAACCAGCCTCAACTCTCAGACGGAGCAGACAGAAACAAACCACAGATCAGGTGTCATGTACTGAATCCAGTGCAGCAACTGTGAAAAGAACTATGGGGGCCAAACAGGAAGAAAGACTGCACGAACACTTCCTGGCTATCAAAAGACACGACCCACTATCCCTCGTGTCTGTCCACAAAGACTCAGAAGGACACAAGTTTGATCTAATCACAATTGTAACCCAAGCGAAATCAAGGAGAGAAAGAGAATTCCTTGAAGCCTGGTTCTCCATCAATAAGTCAATAAACAGACATATTGCCATTGACCCAATCTAGCAACCACTGAGAATGAAAGAACTACTTCAACCGCAACCCTGAAGGCAGCATTTAAAATGCCATACAGCAACAAAAATCACAACTCCCTACAAGAAACCAGACCACGTCTCAACAACAACAGCCAGGCAGCCAAACAACTCGAAACCAGACCATAACTCAGAGGCAACCAAATGAACAAACACCATTTGCATCACACAGACAATATTCAAAAACCAAAGACTATGGCCCAGCAACAACAATCAGCCAATCAAACAGCCCAAAACCAGATCATGACTCAGAAACATCCGGACAAATAACACCAACACCAATTTACACCACACAAAAAAAGGTATTTAAAGGCCAGTGCTCTGACAAATGGGCACAATTCAAAGCACACTGAAGATGCCACCCATCTGAATGGAGATGAAACGTTTGCAGCCAAATCACCAAGCTTTGAGATCAAACCAAAAGCCTAATTTGCAGCTCATTTTGTAGGTATATAAGATACCTATCACTACCACCACCATTCCAAAAGTTGTAGAAAATGAAATATTCCACTGGTATTTGTGGGTACCAGTAATTTACTTTTCCCAAAATGTCTTTTTGAACATCTGTCTTTTTATAGATTTCTGTAAGGATAGTAAGGAGGGCATGGTCTAGATAGCCAGGATTTAGTTTTTCCAATGTTGGGGGAGGGGAGCATCACTGAGAAGTTTTATGACTGGGTTCACTGAAGGTAGCATTCCCTCAGTAGCAACACCCTCAACAAGCCTTTTTCTCCCAATTCTTACTGTGCAGACAGATTCAGTTTATAGAAAATTGTTATAGAATAAGAGAATGTGTAAGCAAATTCTTCTCCACCCAAGGTGATAGTTCTGTGAACTCCCACTACTCCCTTAATTTTGCCCAACTCATTCAACAGTTAAAAAAAATTTTGGGTAACTATTTGTAGAGAGATGGAGATGCCTTCAGAAACCATTACTGAAACTAGAAGACAGAAACCTTTGTTTAGCTGTGAAAAAGGAGATAGGAAGAAGTTGGAGCCATCTAACCCAGTAGAGTATAAGAATGAGGGAAGGTAAAGCACAAACAAATTTGCAAAATTCTGCTCCTATAGCTTATTTCAATAAAGTATTGTTATTATCTTCTTATGCAATTGGTTTCTTGATATGGTTTTGAAGTTTGTTTTTAACTTTGTATGTTTTAGCTTTTATCTAACTGTAAGCCACCCAGTGTTACCTTATGGTAAGATGGGTGGCCAATAAATTTTATAAATAAATAAAATATTTATACCAAAAAAATAGAAAATAATAACCACAGCCCCTACATGATAGTCTCCTCCTCAGTTTCTTGTTCTACAGTAGCTGCTCAGAGTCAAGTGAATATGCCTTTTTATATTGTAAAGCTGAAAGAATATTTCATTACAGGTGTACATTAAATGACTTGACTTTAGATTGTGGTTTCTATAGCAACAAGTGCTTGAATAAATTCCCATAGGATTACATTTTTACATATATATTGACAGTGTATAATCATCTGTACATTCCTAAAGAGTGTTAGAAAGAGAATGTTGGTAGAATCGGAGTGTGAAAAATATATTTTGCTGATGTGCTAAATGCTTCAGGTTTGATTATCTGAAATGCCTTATTTCAAACTGTTTCAAGTTGGGAAAAGCTATTTCGTATTCCAGCCAGGCTTTTTCAGATCTTTGAAAAGTTTTAAGCTCAAAATAATATCCAGAGTAATCAAAAACATCCATTTCAAACTGATATAACTGTTTTAAACTTGATAACAGACATTTTAAAATGATGCATAACCATTCCTGTTGGGTAAAGCATAGGGAGTGATTACCAAAACAAAGACAGATATAGATGATATATTATAAATAGATATGAACATTTGGGAGGAAATATATCAGCAGAAGGAGAAGAGAATCAGGTGAATAAACAAGGGATTTTCTAGAATTCCAGTAAGTGATTAAAAACAACCAAATATACTCTGTCATTTACAAGCATTTAAAATCACCATTAAACTTTATGTGGAATAGCTATATCAAGAGCAACATACAACACAGTATGAATCATAAAATGAAATAATGAATTGTGTTTAATTCTTCTTTTTAAAAATAAGAAGAAACTATTAACATACAAAAGAAAAAAGGGGGGAAAGAATAAAAAACAATAAAAAATAAAAACATTAAGAAATTAATTGCTTATAAATTATACTCTTCCAGCCTATTCTGACTAATTCTAACTAATTATTGAAATCAATATAATAATATATGTATTTATATTATAACTACTATAATAAGTAAGCATTAGGAATTGTTTCTGATTTCTTGTTACATAGCAAGCAAAGGTAGAGTATTTCTAAGGGAAAAGAAAAACAAGTAGA